CTTGGCTCTAAGTGTCATTGTAAAAGACAAATGTTCAAAGTAAGGCAGAGTGAAAGAACTGTTGTTAGTGCATGTTTAATTCTACTGAAATGGATGTGAATTCTTAATACCTTGAACTAGTACTGTTGGAAATTCATTAATGAAAAATTGCTAACCTGAGGCATCTCTTTCCCACACTTTCAGAAGCAAATATTTTTTAATTTCTCACTTTAAATCTGCTTCAGTTTCATCAGTATAAAAATCTTTAACTTTAGTGAAAGAAATGTTTTTAACTTTCCCTTTTTTTTTTTTAAATTTCTATGTTTCCAGATGTTATCCCTACCTGGATGAAAAAAACCCACGTTGTAACAGCCTGTCGTTTTCAAAAAAACAGCTTCCAGACACCATGCTCACTTTTGCAGAGCTTGATATTTATTCTTAAAGTGAAAAGCAATCTGGTGCTCAGAAGGGAAGATATTTGATTGAATTCTAGCTACTTTTTTACAGACCTCTATGTCAACCAAAAGAGAGTAGAGTGGTCAGGGGCTGGCACTCTTTTCTTTGCACTAAGGAATCTGGGTAAGAGGCTTGAGTTGTTCAGGGTTTGTCATTGACAAGTGATCTTTGGCAAATGCTTCTATTTTTTCCCTATCTATTTTGTGGTGGTAATTTAGTTGCATGTGTTTACCAAATGCTGCATAAGTATTAACACTGCAGTTCATGAAAAGAAATCTGGTTTCCATTGGAAAAGAGTATTTAAGCAGGAGGAAGAAGGCTGACAAATTTGGGTCTGGAATCTTTCAGGGCAGAGCTTTCAGCATCCTGGAGAGTTCCACTCGATGCTTTCCAGAACAGCTTTGCCATAAAAAATTCAGATTCTTACAGGAAAGCTCATCTGGAGTAAAGTTCAAGCTTCCTATCCAGCTGCAATTATGGGCCTTCCAGCTGTTATGTAAACTGAATGCTCTCAATAGGAAGAAAAGTCTAGGAGCTGCTCTCTAGGTCCTCAACCTGTACACAGACCATTCAAGAGAGACTTTGCTTGCAGCCCTCAGTGGTGTCAGACACAATTCTCAGGTATGGTTTGGTGGTTTGGAGTTTTGGTTTATGCAATGGAGGGCATTCAAATTGTCTGTTGAAGATTACTTGTAATTCCACTCTGAGGAAATTAGGATTACTTTCATGTTCATGTAACGTAACTACAGTAGATTAATTCTGGCTACTATTACTTGCTCTTGCTTACTGATATCACTGATTATCATTGCTTTGCTGGCAAAAGTTAGATCAAAAACTCTTATTCTCATTAGAAAGTCATCAAGTCTTTATGGTTTGTTTTTTTAGAAGCCTAGATTAGCTAAAGCCACAAGCCCTTACAGGATGACATCCTAAAAGTACGGATTCTTGTTCACTCCCACAGCTAACCTCTGTGAATTCTCAGCTCCCAAGCCAGGGCCAAGTTCAGGAAATACCATGCTGGTACATTTTGAAAGTGATGGGGAGAACAGCTTCAGAGGGTTTAGAACCCAGCTCACTTTGGTTCATTCAGGTTAGTAGAGAGATGCTTGCTGCATCTAAAAATTTCCTTATCATCTGCAGCTATTCTTAGATACCTGAGCTTACTTTTTAGGCTAATCCTGCTGCATTCTGTCGAGGTAACTTTAAAAAAGAATAACTACTTGTAGCAGAGCTCCCTTTGCTGAATAAGGGAGATGAATCAAATGTGCTTTTTTATTTTCACTGAGAAATGACTGACTTCTGCTACCTGAAACAAGCAGCCTTGTTAATTCTGCCTGTCTGATATTTCCCTTGAAAACCTCATTATAGAGGAGAGTCTTGATCCTGGGGATCCTAGTCTGCTGTTGTTGTTTTCTACTTTCATGAGTGTGTGCCAGCTGCTGCTTGAGGCGGATGAATAACTTTTCCCTTCCAGAGTGGAGACTTTGAGGGGACAAGCCAGAGCTGTTGGCCCAAGTCAGAGCTAACTCTTATTTTCTTCTCTTGCAGAGGAGGCAGGAAGAAAAGATTTGGCATTAACTGCACCGATGTTGCCTTTGAAGGATGTCCCCTTAGGTAAAGAAATTAAATTCTGCTCAGTTGATCTAGTCTGAGAAGCTTTCCTCTCACATATAAGAGGCTTATGCAGTGAGGTAGATGCTTTCTGACCTCAAGTCTCCTTTTGTGAACTTTCATGCGTGAAAAGTGATAGGCAGGTGCTCCATCACTCGTTATCCATACTTGTGGTACATCCTCTCCTTTTCAGTTGCATGCACTTCCTACTGGGAGCAGAGACAAAGCAGAGAATGGGAGAGAAATGCTTTCAGTGCCTGAGCCTCACTTCCTCCCTGAAGGGCTCACCTCCTTAGGATTCAAGCTTTCATGTATCTGTTTTTCCTACCCCCAGCACTTCCAGACAGAGCAGACAGATTTTCTCTCTCCTGCATCTTTGACCTTGCTGTATATCCACGGCATGAGGTTATCTAGGAAAATAGGAAACTTGCCTGTGGAAGTATGGCTAGTTTTCTGGCTCTGGCAGACACCTGTGGTTTTTCCCCAGTTACTTCCCAGTGGCTGTTCAAGCATGTTAGTGGGGCTGAGGAGGCCTGTCCTCACTGTTGGCCATGGCACACCTCCCTGAAGCTCCTTGGAAACGCTCCCAGTGCAGTGGGACTGTCATCAGCCCTACATGGCTGCTGACAGCCACCCACTGTGTGTAGCTGTGAGTGTGACCTGCATGTTCCCAGGCACACTCTCCTCCTCTCCCCATGCTGTGAACTCCCCCTGCTCCTCCAGACTGGGTGCACAGCTATAAATTATATTCACACCCTCTTGTCCTCTAAAAAAACCTTTCTTCTGCCCTTCCGCCATGAACACTGATTTTAGAGATGGGAACAGTTTGGTCTTCCTTGTAGGAGATCCATTAAAGTTAATTGAAGTATCTGCTATCAGAGCCAGAACTGATGCAACACACTTGTCGTGGTGAGAAGCTCTCACTCAGCAGTCCTAGGAATAAGTGACTAATTAGAGAAGACCCAGAAGGGATGTATGACTGCTGAATTAGGAATCTGTATGACTGACTGTAAGTAGTTCCAATATGTTTACTTTTATTCTACAGATCCAATAAACCCTTGCACTGGACTATGACAGCAAGAGACCATGATAGAGCCCTAAGAAGGTCAACACAACAGGTAAAACCCAAGCAGTACCATTAGAAATGTTTACTTTGGTGTATTTGACCCTACAATATTCCTCAAAACAGACTTATATGCACAGATAAAACAGCATTGACAACAAGGCAAAATGACTGATATGTAGCCCAGGTTGAAGAATAAGAAAGGAAATCCATTAACTCTGGTCTCATTCAACTAACTTGCAGTGTAAGGAAGCATGTTTTATACCTGGTTCTTACTACCAGCAGTAAAAAGTCTTAAAATCTAGCAGAGACGACTGAGTGTCCTCAGCATCTTACTCCCTTGGTGCCCAGCAATATAGCTGCCTATAAAAAGCTTGCTAACTCTTCCTTCCCAATGGGACAAAAGGAAAAGAAACTCAAGTAACTCACACTAGTCTCCTGCAAAACCTTGAGGCTTGTATTTGCACAGTGAAGTAGTCAGCCTTCACCTTAGCCTCAGGAGGTCCACATAAACTATCCCAGCAATTTTCTCAACTGAGTTGCAAGGTAGGGAATCTGCTTTTCAAAGTCCTTGCACCTTTTTTACTTCTCTTCATGACCTATTTTGAGCTCGATCATAACTTGTCATTTTTGCCCTCTTCCTTTACAAATACCCTTTCAGCATGTACTTCTCTGCCCTAGTCACATCATGGTGTATCTGCACTTTGGAATGTCGAGCTATTGTCCTGATGCAGCTCAACATCTCTCTGGAGTACAACACTGCTGTCAGGCCAGTGTGCCTGCCCAGCAGCACAGAGACGTTATCCTTCTCTTCCCTCTATGCTGTGTCTGGATGGGCATCATCAAAGAAGGTGGGTCTTCTGATTTTGCACGTTTGCCCTTTATGAGCAGAACTTACATCTCCATCAGAACTATGTTATTCTTCTGCCCAGACCTAACCTCAAATTTGTTTTCCAACCAGATGGGAGCCAAGCTAGAGCTGCAGCAGACATGAGTACCTGTACTTGAGAATGAAATATGTGAGATAAATTGCTACTTCAGTTACCCTGGAGGGATCACTGCCAGGATGTTTTGTGCAGGCTTTGTTTCCGTGGGAGGCCAGGACTCTTGTCAGGTGAAGTAAAATTAAAGGTGAGCACTCTTGAAAGTGTTTGCCTATATATGTCTGTGGATCACTTAGGGAAAGGGACTGGGAAGAACAGAAGGGAGAACAGCAGGTGACAGTTCAGAGCTCCAATAACATGCTGTCCCTGGAGTGGATGCACTTACAGGAGCCAACACAGTCGATCCCTATGGGACATATAAGCAGTGTGCAGTGTTGCTTAAATGGGACCACAGAGTTTAGAAAACTTTCTTTGAATGGTAATTTCCATGAGACACGTGGAGATGTTCTTCCCTTGCACTTCCCAAAACCCATTTATGATCCCATTGAAACATTTCCCATTGGAGCTTGCTTGGAACTCTTTTTCATGGCACTCTTTTGTCAAGAGAAACTATGACTTCTATTGTTTTATAGAACTCTTGTATTCAGAGCAGTGTTCAAGAACTGACTAATCTCTCCAAAATCACCAGGCAAGCAGGTAAGGACAGCTGAGTAAATAGAAGGCAAAGTAATTCTGACTGAGGCATTGTCAAGCTAAAATGTGAGTTCAGCTCAATAACGCAATCCAATGGCAGGCAAATAAATTATATGTAACACTAAAGAGGACTATTGAGTCATATTTTGTCTGCAGCCTGTGCTCAGTCTTCACTTTATGCTGATAAGCAAGCCTTTAAATCAGTCTCTTCTTTGCAGGCTGGGGCTGAGTCGCACCAGTGGCTGTGTTCCCAGTTCCTGCAGGAGGGCTTTTCCGGGCAAATCTGATTCCAAAAGCTCTCTTTTAGCTGCAGCAGTGCAGAGGCCAAATGAGACCCCTGTGAGTCCTCTATCATTTGGTTTCAGGATGGTTCTGGTGGCCCCTTGGTTTGCAACCCTGAAAATGGATCATTTATGCTTTACAGCATTGTCAGCTGCGCTGTTTGCTGTGCCAGCCCAAAGAAACCAAGGTTCTTTGATTTCAAGGGTGAGGATTTTCATGGACTGGGTAGGACTGCTGATGAAAGGTGAGTTTTCTTTGTCTAAGTGAGGTGAGTCCTGAATATCATGCCTTTGTATAAAATATCCCAAGTGCATTGAGGTTTTGTCTAATAGGCTTTTCAGGGCAGCTTAAGATGAAGGAAAAAAAGTCCAGGTGACTTACTGCAGAAAGTCTCCACTTCCTCCTCTTCCTCATGCCTCCCCCCTAAATAAAGCTTACTGGAAATTAGAATGGAAGGTCCAGAAGTGTAAGACTTGAATTTAACACTTTGACTCTCAAATCGATCATAATCTTTGAACAGATACTTCTATCAGTAAAAAGCAACTACTTGTGAAAATGCCTACCAGCCCCATGCTTTGATGGCAGAATAGTTTGGGAAATGCTGTAAACTGAACTTGTGCATCTATGGATCTAGATATAATTAGCATCGTATTCAGAAGTCTGGAGGATAAATTTTGCCAGAGAAAGAGTAGCATATGCTAGTGAATAAGGACTGATTGCATGACAGTGATGGCATCTTACAAAAAGAAGAAGCCCCTGTTCTTAAGCTGGAGGGGCTCTCATGCAAAGAAATGAGGGGAGCAAACCTATTTGAAGTGCCCCACGTGAACTCAGCATTGTCATACTGCTTTCCCTGAACCAACTCCCTCTCTCCTTCTTTCCCAGATGTTTCTTTCCTGCTGAGGCTTCTCAGGTCAAGGTGAATTTGGCTTTATAGTTTCATTGGCAAATGGAGAAATCCATCACTTCATCTTGTTTAATCTGATGGAATTTGAGAGATTTCGAAGAGGTACCAGACAGCTTCAAGTCTTTTTTTTTCCCCCATGTTAAATAAATAGATTTGTCATTCTACAGAAATGTTTCACTTTGGCTTGAAGTAGTAGCACTAGGATACTGCTGATGCAAAACCTTTGTATTCCAGAGCTTTATCACTCCTCCTTCCCTGCGTGTGCACACATACAGCCAAGTATGTTAGTGAATAGCTGTGATTGTCCCACAGCATTTCTTAAGAGGAAAAACCTAATCCTGGACAGAGTTTTTGTGTAGATAAAATGTAGCCCATCCTACATTTTATCCTTTTGCTGCCAGCAGAAAATAGAAGACTTCTGCTCACAGGAATAAATTTAATCTCCTTTCCCTGTATACTGAATAAAGTGTGCTGCACTTATGAGCAGGAAATTAAAGTATATATTAAAGAAAAGGGCATGTTGTGGATAATGCTCTATTCTCAGGTCAGATGAGCACTTGGATTCTCCTGCTTTGTGCAGCAGCAGCCAGTCTTTCTCCCTTGTGGCGTCGTTCATAATCCCACGCTGACCTAACAGAAATGCTACTACAGGTGCTGCTAAGGGAGAACTTTCTTCTAAACTAAAACCAGGTGACAAAACAAGTCATCATTTGTATGGTGATCATCAGCCAGACCAGCCCTACAGATAAGCTGGGAGCTAGCTAGATATCTTCCATACCCTTGGATCTGACACAACTGGCTCCTGACCACTGACTCTGAAGGCAGTAATGGCTTTCATGGCCAGGCAGTTGATGCAGGGAATTGCTCAGCTCTGTAGTATAAATCTTTCTCAGAGGTGGAGCCTGTAGTGTTGCATGCAGCCCTCACATACACTTTCATGCAAAAGGTTCAAAGCCCTGAGGGCTCTTTGAGCCAGATACTGACTCAAAGTATCAGTATACTGGTACTTGCCTCCTTTATCTGACCTTCATGTCATTGTCTTCCTATTGTGGGAAGTGCTTGGCCATGCTGACTATTCTGAGTTCTGTGTTAAGCTGCCTCTAAGCGTGCTGTGCCTCTCCTCAGATGCTGAGCAGAGCTTGCTGCAGGGAAGTGACAGTGCACCAGAGACCTCAGCACAGGAGCCCTCAAAGCTAACAGGAGAGGCGTGCAGGCAGGGGGACTGCAGAGCTGTGTGGAGCTCCCGTGTGCCACGGGAGGCAGTGCTTGGTTTGCAGAAGGCAATGGAACTGGTTCCGTTCAGGATCAGCTCTGGGTGGTAACTGCTAACAGGTCTGAGTTTCCTAACATCTCTGTGCAAGTGGATACTGCTCTCTGGACTTTGTCCTGGGAAGTGTGTGTGTACACAGGGAGAGGGGAGGGAGGGAGGCTGGTGAGCAGAGCCAAGGGAAGGAAGACCCTCTTGTAGCTAGAAGCAGGGGGCTTGCATAGTGGAGCAAGGATCCATTACCACTGATGCTGCAGAATTCCTTGGATATGTTGCTAAATCTGCTCTCTCTCTCCCTTACCATTCCCTTACCTGGAATAAGGTACTGCTTTTTTATCTTCCATGTTTTAGACTGTATTTCTCAGGGCAGAGAGAACTACTTAATTTCTTATGCATGTACTTCGCTTAAACAGAGCTACGGTCTTGGGTGAGACACTGTCAGCTTGCTGCTGCTTTTGAAGCACAACAGACAGCCCTGTCCTACTAATGTGGCTCCTCCTGGCTAGTGAGCGTTTAAATGTTTCTCCACATCCAACACTGTGTTGGAGGAAGAATGATGAAAAGGCTAAAGTACCCTCAGTTACTGGGAGACACTAGCTTTGGCAACAAATTGGAGAATTCATTTGCTCACGAATTTAAAAAGCAATCTGTTCAGGAGGGGACGTGCTACCAGTACTGCTTGCAGACTTGTGCAGTAGCCAGGCTGCTGGCATGCAGCGTGTGCTTTCCTCCTCTTCCCATTGGCATCCTTGCTGGTGCTCCACAACATCACACCACTGAGATAAAAATAGGTCCCCCAAAGTGGTAAGCAATAGGAGGTGGGCATGGTTTCTCTCCACAGGGAAGTGCAGCACAGCCAAAAACTCTGGGGGTATCATTAGCACAGCAGCTCCAGGGCCGGTTAGGAGAGGCTGGAAATGTGCATAAGGCTCTTGCCCACCCTGCAGCAGGCTTGGTTCAGCTGAGCTGCTCCTCTCTGGGTGAGTTCAAAGCCATGGCAAGCGCACGGTGCTGCAATGACCTGAATTGGGTGTTGACCTGAATTGGGTGTTGACCTGAATTGGGTGTTGACCTGAATTGGGTGTTTACCTGAATTTGGTGTCAACCTGAATGAAAAAACCAGCTTTTAAAATGGACCTAGAGACAAGCCCTTGTGGCTCAGCCTGTTGGGCTTTACCCTCTTCCAGGATGCAGCACCTGCACTACACTGGCATTCCCTGCTGTCCCCTGATGCCAGCACAGGGCCCTCACCCTTCAACAGTGCTGGGTATGTGCAGGAGCCCTTGTGCAAAACTGTGTGATTAACTCATTGCATTTAACTTAGACCGTGGTGGAAGAGGTTTGGATTTCTTTAAAGCCAGATCTCCTGGGGGAAGGGTACTCTCCTTGTGCTCTCTTCCACTGAGAGTTAAGGCAAGTCACTCTTCCCTACACGTGCCCTCTCACAAGCACTGCTATGTAAAGCTGTTCACAACACAGCACCTTCCTCAGGAGGCAAATGTTCTTCATCTCCCTTTTGGATTTGATGGATTTCTACTCAGCAGGAGGGCTCAGCTCCTCCCCTCTGTGGTCTCAGTATCCCGTGCAGGTACGAAGAGACACGGCGTGGTGTCAGCATCCCATCTGAGCAGAAAGCCCATAAAGCATTGGTGTGGGAGGAAGCACACTTAAACAGAATTCAAGCTGCTCTACAGAGGGTATGACTTTAAAAATTGCTGCCTTGGGAGACAAACAACCCTATTATGCTTGGTACTAAAGGGACATGCAGTTCTCATTAGTGATCTTGTTCCCCTCCTCCTGCTCTGTTATAACCACTCAGATGCTTCCAAATATTTCCCTGTTGATTTGGTCTCTTATTTAACGAGTGCTGAATCTGACTGCACTGTGTGTGCATGCAGCTCCAGGCTAGGCCTGCTCTCCTCCTGTGTTTCTGGAGAACCAGGGAGTTCATAGACAAAAGCATAATATTTCATAACTCTTGTCAAGAGCTGATCACAAGGTCAATTTAAAAAAAAAAATAATTGCATTTCTTCCTCAGTAGTGAGAGAGTATTTGAGGTTGGTAGGTCTGTTAGCCCAGCTACGTGACCAACTTGGTATCTGTTTATCTCTTTTCCAGGCATTGATTCAAAGCACAGCTCAAACCAAATTTGCAAGCAAGTCTGCTTTCCCCTAAGGCCTGGCAGCTCACTCCTTTGTGCTGCCTAGCCTGTGCCTCTGCCTGGCTCTTCAAGGTTAAGGCAAGAGGGCTGCCTTGTGATCATGTACACTTTGAGAGCTCCTTTGGGCTTGTACCAGCTTGAATGCTGGACCCTAAGAAATGATCCAACTGATAGGAATGCGTTTTAAATATTTATACGCATAGATAGAGAGATGCCCTACGGAGGTTAAGCCTTTTATCACTGTAGCCTTTGCAGTGACTGCAATATCTGTGCCCTTGCTAGTGATATCAGGATCTTCAGACTTCCAGAAAGTCCACTAATACTGGGGTAGGGGAGGAACAGGTTTAAAAAAAATTAGAAAACTAAATATTGGAAAACCATTTCCCACTAACTTTATTGACCTGCTAGACTCTCTTTGATCATGGGCAGGACTGCCAGGTTTTGTGGAAAGCTCTTACTGTCTTGTCTTAATGCTTTTATCACTGAAGTGCACATTTATCCACAGAATGTGCATCAGAAGTGGAGTTAGAAGAGCCTGGGGATTTATATCTGCTCCTTCTTCATCACGTTACGTGGGAAGCACAGAGTGCTCTTGGATACTCCGACTCTCTCTGAAGGGCATGGCAAAGATTATATTACTATAATCTGTCAATAACATCATCACTGAACCGCCAAGAGGAGTTTCTTGGGATTTATGAAGAGAATCAGAGAGCAAGAAAAGTGCGAGGTAACAACAAATGATCCAGCTGAGGACACTCAGTCCTAGAAATTTCACTCATTCACTTGGGCCAGTTTCAGAAAGCCCCAGCTGCATGGCTTCGACATGTTGGCAGCCTTAAGTTAAGCTTCAGAGCCCAGGCTGTAAGGTTGGCTGAAGACCTTAATCCCTGTGTCAGTGTGTCAGTGTGCTGCATTGATCCAGTAGGAGAACAGCCCTCTTAGTACCCTAGAGACCAGTAAAAGGGAGTACATAGAAATAAGCTGTGATGTTTGAGCAAACCCTCAGGGACACCTGTCTATATAAGTGACTCCTGACTTCCTATATTGTCAGCTTAGTTTTCAAAGTCGAGCCCCCTTCCTCCACACCCTCTGAGATAATCATGTGAGATGTAGTGATGGTACATATGATTTGACTCTTGGAGTTGGAATAAACAACACTGAGGCATCAGGGGCTGGGAAATAGGTGTGACTCTTCATACCAAAAAATATATTAACTTCTATGCAGAAGGTATAGTTTTGCTAACCATGACTCTGCTGAGGTGCAATCCCATCAAGCATCTAGCAGTCTAGATTAACAAAATCCTCAGAATTAAAAGAAAGCTAAATAAAAAAGAAAGGGAGAACTTCAACATTGTTTACTTGGAAGTTTAAGTTTCTGGAGGCCCCTCTGTCTGCATGTGTACAGCATGCTGTGCAGAGAAGCAAAATCTTGTTGGAAGTGCAGCGTGGCAAGGAGATGGAGAACATCACAGGAATTCCATTTCAAAATGCGTGGAGGAAATGCTTTTTTGTTTCCTGTTTTAAAGAGTCTGTACACAGAGTAGGGGAAAAGGAAGAAATGGAAAAAGTGCTGCATCGGGCAGAAACTTGGAAGCAAAAGGAATTAACTGGAAATTATTGGCACAAAATGTAAATGGGGAGGGGGAAGTAGTAGGAAATGAGTGGGGGAAAACTCAAGAAACTAGATCTTGCAAAGGTTTTATTGAGTGTGCTGAAGGATCTCTATTCCTTCCCCCAACATCTCCTCCCAGCCTTTCACTGTGGGTTTTTTCCTTCTCCTCCTTTATGCTGCCCCTGTATAGGTTTAATTAATTGTGGTTGCAGATGTTATACAGAAGAACTTCTTCTTGGTAGATACTCACACTTACTTACTGGTAGACAGTGTGGTGGAGAAATACACTGTGAGCTTTTGGAAGTCCTATGGATAAGTTTTAGTGTACATGTTCCCCAAATATTTCCAAAATTAAGTGATGCCTTTGGAGAAAGTTTTTAGATAATAGCTATTGTGTGTAGACCTTCATCCTCTTAACATCACACTAGTGGTGATGGCTAATGCTCAAGAGAAGAGGCCCTATTTGACTTCTGTCTTGGTGTAGATGAGGGCTAAAGGGAAAATAAGCTGTTCTTCCATGACATTTGAACAAGAACACTCTTTTGTTACCAAATACAGTAGTAATGCTTCCAAGTGAACTGTTAGAGCAATGGAACATGCTAGGAATGTTTTTGTCATTAAGGAACAAAACCAAAACCCAACAAATCTACAGTTTAGCATGTCAGTTAACTCTGAGTTGGGAGTGAAAGCACATAAGAGGAGAAAGATAGAGGATATGCTAAGGAGCTCTTGGAGCACTCCACAGCTATTTTCTTCCAAGAACTAATTTATAGAAGGCAATTAAAAAAATCTAAATCTGTGTCTATTACAGCTGAGAATAGCAGTTTAACTATCATAACTATTTACATGGAGGACAGAGGAAAATACTATCAGAAATGGGGCCATCAGTCAAACTTCTCCCTGAATAGGAGTCTCACAGATAGCTCCCTGGAGCGTCCTCCAGCACATAGGCTCACTGCTATGTAATAGCATTTGTTATGGCTGGCAGTTTTTCAAGACTGGGTATATTAAACTAGATTCCTATGACTATTTATATGCCAACATATTGAAACAGCCTGTTTTCTTTCCCCCCACCCCTTCTCTGGAGTTGGTGAATAACAGAAGTTTGTGGGTGCCTGTCTCTAAACCAAATTATTTTTAACCAAGGAACTAAAACACAGAATGAGGCTTTAATGTCAGTATGAGCTGGAACTCTAGGATGATGTTATGATAGGGGAGAAAGAGGCTGGAAAATTCAGAGAGCCAGTAAGTAACCAGAAAATAATTTAGTGTGCTTAACAACAGAAAGTACCTATCAGTGGAGATGGAGTAATGGCAGAAATTCCCTGTCTCATCCAATTTTCAATTTAAGCCCAAGAACAAACCCATGTGTAGTCGAGCAATTTTTCAGGACAGACAAAGAAAATAAAATGCCTAGACTTGTAGGTAGACTTGAGGCAGCTGATACTGTGCAGTAAACTGAGCAAACCCTTGCTGGCCAGCAGTAAGTCACCTAGTGCAGGACAGGGACCAGAGGTGCTGCCTCGTCAAGAGGGGACTGCCATGTTACTGGAGCTGAACATCTTTTAAATGTGAATAGTTCCTTCCTTTTCCACCTTTCCACAGAGTAACTTGTATGACTGTGGCCTACATTTCTCAAACGGTGTTTTTATAGGGATGTTGTGCTTGGATTTGCTTCTATCTGTTCTGTGCAGTACTGTGCAGTCTCCTGTGGTTCTCCCAAATCCCAGACCTGGGATGAAGATGGTGTTCTGCTTCAGATCCAAGGTACAGTCAAGCTGTACAAACACTTCTCTCTAGAGATTAACTGACATGTTTGATTGAAGCTTCGGGAACATACTTGTTTTCAAGATGCATTTATGGGCTTTCCAGAGACTTCACAGACAGATGTTCTCCAAACGTACGAGAAAACAGAGCTCTCTGAAACTCTAGCCTGTATAAAACTGTCTGATATGCACAATGCTGAATCTTGAAACCACTTTTGTAGGATTATAATGAACAAGATCTGACCTGGTAGAATGGGAATGTAGAAGTTTCTGTGATTGGTTTGACCTCTAATTGAACACATCTCTTTTTCCAGATGAACTTTCAAAAGGAGTATTTCAAGGTTTTGCTCTTCAGATTGTATCTCAACCATAATCTATGCTTTTCCATGAGGGTCACATAGGAATTCTTCTAGTTACTGGTCCAAGTCCTTCTAAAACTTAATGTTAAAGCTGAATTTAATGCTCTACATTCTTATTCTTTCAAGGACAAAAAACTGTCAATGCTCCAAAAATGCCCAAGCAGATGAGCTCGGAGTTGTCACAAGGCATAGATGTCACTCTTACAGATTGGGAAGGAATGATTCAGCCATTGGGATACCGCGTGAGATACACAAATGCCACCAGGTGAGCACCCAAGTTCTTCTGGCTTTTGTAACTCCCATGAAATCTGCAAACATCTGTGATGTGTTTTTTAATGAATCCAGGGGTGCTTCAGTTCATGTTAGAAAACTGGGCAAGTTTCTCAAAGAGAGTTGGGAAAGCTGGTCGGTGCCAGTATTTTGTTTGCAGCAAAGAGCAGACAAACCTGACACCTCTGGGAAAAGCTCTGACCATGTCAGAGGCCTGAATGTGGCATAACTGAAGGGCTAAAAAAGGGGACAATAAACTATTTCACTAAAAATCTTTTGGCACTTTCATCCATTTCCTTTTTTTCCTCCCTTATCGCGCTTAGTTAAGGTAAGAGAGAACTTTCCATTCAGGTGGCAATACCACAGACTTCTAAAGCATTTGGAAGGTTAACTTCAGAAGTAATAAATCATATGACTGAAATAGATTTGGACCAATATCCCGCCTTTGATTTTTTTATTTCTTTTCTTTTTTTAATGGGCATTACAATCCCTTTTGCCTTTGCTCACATTTTGATCGCTATCCCTAGGAGATCAGAGCCAATTGTTAAATATGCCAGCATTGTGACTTTGTTCTTTGCTTTGTGCTGCAGCTGCCACAGGAGAATTGTAGCCCCATTAAAATCCATTATTCGCCTTGAAGTCCTGGACTTTCAGGACTGAAAGAAATCTGTCTAATTGTCACAGCCAACTGGTGGTGTGTGAAGGATTTGGACTAACGAAAGAGTTACTCAGTAAAAGAGAGCTCATCTTAATTCCGGGGTGAGAGAAATGGAGGAGCTTAACCAAGTTTCTTTTCTGACAGACAAGGGATTTTTACATGGCACACTTCCATGCTCCAGGAAGGATTTCTGATACTTGGAGTTACTTCAGCTAGCCTAGTATCTTTCCCATCCTATAAGTATTTTTGCAATCAAACTTGTTGGATATAAGGTCCTTATAATGGCATGGCTGTGCCTTGGAACTATGTGAGTCTGTGTAGGATGCTCTTTCCCAGACTTTAACTGGAAGCATGAAAGTTGCTGTGTGTGTCTGAAGCTGTGTGCCAAAGACAAGGCAGCAGGTCAAAGTGATGGGGCCAAAGGGAGGGAAGCTTTTCCTACAGCCCTGCTAAGTGAGGGAAGGTGCCTACCTCACTAAGGAGCTATTGGCTTATGTAGGACATTTTCAGGGAAGTGAAGCTGTGTAAGTTATCTTCTGTACATGGAAGAAAAAGCACAGATTGGAAATTTGAACTGTTAAGAGCACTTATTGTCACAAGGTTCTTCAGTGCAGATTTTAGTTATGTGAGACGCTCCAAGTGGCTTATTCCCCAGAGGATATGGATGTTCTGCAGCCTTGTGAGCATTGCACAGTGTCTTGCACAAAAGAGCATGAGGGAGGTGTTGCCTGTCAGGGCAGGGATTTCTTCTGACCAGAGTAGTCCAGGCAGTGGGCATTTGCCACTAGTGATTTGTAGTGGTTACAGTGAGTGTCTCTAACTATATGTCTGTTTGAAGGAAGTCACCATTCTGGTTACAAGTATAGCAAGTTTTCTTCTGGCCATGTTTGTAGACTAATGCATGAGCTCAAACTGAATGACATCAGGATTTTGCGTTAATAAGCTTTTAGAAAGTGAAATCTTTTCTGCATTTTCTGCATTTTGAAAGACTATGACTCGCAGCTCTCAGGAGAAAAAGGCTCACAACCCATTCTGGTCTATTTTGCAGGTAACTTCAGTGGTGACACTTCCATCTACCCCATAAAATCTTGAGGTTCAGTAGTGACAGCGACTTTCCCTTCCAGGACTTCAGCAGCCATGAAAGGCTTTCTCTCAACTTCCTCTACTCAGGAAACATCATTGGATAAGTCCAATTTTGTTGGGAGGGTGGAGAAGTAAAGCCTAAAGTATGGCTGTTATATAAAAAAAAAAAATCTGTTCTGAAGAGAAATGGTGGTTATTAATAAGAGATCTATTAGAGATCTTGAGTGTTGATTGAATGCACAAGTAGTGATCTATTTACTGTGCTCATTTCCTGCTATAAACCTGTAAAAAAGAGATCCTGTCTTATCTGTTGCTCTCTATCTACCCCTTTCCATTCTGCTCTACAAAACCAGAATCCCCTCTCCCTGTGGTCTGTCTGTTATTCCTTCTACAATCTCTCTTCTGCTTCTCCACCTAGCAGGCAATAATGCTGCCAGGTGCTGCTGTTACCACTGCTTACCTCCCCAGACTTCACCTCTGCCCCACACCCAGGGAGCTACACAGTTAATTGGGCTCTATGCTTAAAGACCAAAGGAAACCTCCCTCACATTCTTATTTCCCAGCAGGGACAGAGCTGGTGACATGGGTGGACAGTTTTCTCTGTGAACAGCACTGCCCTGGCACCATTAAGCAAATCAGCACTTTGATCCCTCAGATCAGAGAAACTTGGAGCTGGAAAGATGTGTCCAATCTGACTCTTCTGTTTGTGAAAGCAAACTATTTTGCCTTTCTAGCAACTTGAGCCACATCTAATCCTCTCCCATGCCCCTTTCTTCTGTCCTACCTGTGCTCCCCACTGCTGTGTGAATGAGCACATCTGCTTGGGCAAGTGTGTTGGGCTTCAGAAGTAAATCACAGCAATTAAATTTCTCTTATTAAAATGCATCAGCCTTACAGCAGCGTCACCAGAGATCTGTTTGCTCTTTCATGCAAACATGCACTTTTCCAAGATGAACTTCAAACCCTAGCTCTGAAAATGAGGAGGTGCCTTTTCCATTCACCTGCAGCCTGGCTAAAAACTCCTCTTGTCTCAGATTCCCCTCCCCAGAATAGTCTGTAATCTCTCTGTATTTGTGTACCTAAGGTAAGATAGCACTCTCCTTTCAGGTCAGGAAACTGGAAGCATGGAGGTTGCTCACAAAGGTAAGACTAGTTTTAACTTTCCATAAACCTGATGAGAGGGAAGTAGTAGAAAGCCTATTAAAAAAAAAAAATCCTTCTCTTCTTTTTATGCACATTTTATATTTATGGCTTGGGAGTTAATCTCTGTCATGGGTAAGTGTCAACATTTGGGTATGAAATGGTCACCAACAACATTAGCCATGTCAGTACTAAATGTACTTTCTTAATTCTTCACATTCCTATTTTACTGTATTCACTTTCAATTCTTGCTACCAAGGCTGCTATATATGTTTGGAGAAATGCATGGATACTTGAAAGAAAAAAAAACCCAAACAACAAAACAAAACCTCACCAGAAAAGTCCCAAACCTTAGCTAAATCAAAAAAAAAATCTTAAATATGTTGAATCTAAGAACTCTGCACTTTGTATGAAGGCTTGAACTTTAGCCAGGTTGACCAGTCTGCCTGAAGCATGTTCCCAGCTGTCAGCCAGAGGGATCCTCAAGGTGAAAGTTTAAAATCCTCATCAAGCTTCTACAACTTTCATGTTTCCAGCAAGCTCGGCTTCCTTTCCCTCATCACCCCAAAAAGTATGCTGTCAGACCCACTCTCCTTTCACCCCAGTAAACCAGGGTGTGATGGTAGTCAATTTAATTTTTTTTGGAATTCCTGAGAACAATGTAGACTATTCCACCAAACCATGTAATAAAATGTTCACATCTCTAGAACATTGCATTCTGCATTTTAATCAGCTTTGTGGCAACTATAAATGTGAGGCAAAAGCATCATAGAATCATAGAACAGTTTGGGTTGGAAGGACCTTAAAGATGATACAGTTCCAAACACCCTGCCATGGGCAGGAACACCTTCCCCTAGACCAAGTTGCTCAAAGCCCAGTCCAACCTGGCCTTGAACACAGCCAATTTGTTTTGTCAGAAAAATCTTTCAGCATGTTCTCTGTGTTAAAGGAGCTTCCTGACCCTGCACTTCAAAACTGATGAAAACGTAGGATACAGAGGCCTCAAAATCCTTCTTGTAGAGTTGTATGAGCAGCCAACACAAAGTGAACTGGAAGGCAGCAGCCAGTGTTAAGTGAGACTCTGGGTCTTTCTCTGCATATGTCACTGTGCTAGTTTGGGCTGGGGCAGAGTTAATTTTCTTGAAAGTAGTTGGTGTGGGGCTGTGTTCTGGATTTGTGCTGAAAAGGGTGTTGGGTAATAGAGATGTTTTTTTATTACTGCTAAGCAGTGCTTACACAGAGTCAAGGCATTTTCTGCTTTTCATATTGCCCTGCCAGTGAGGAAGCTGGGGGTGCACAAGGAGTTATGAGGGGACACAGCCAGGGCAGCTGACCAAAGGAATATCCCATACCATATGGCATCATGCTCAGCATATAAAGCTGGTGGAAGAAGGAGGAAGTGGGAGGGAACATTTGGAGTTGTGGTGTTTGTCTTCCCAAGTAACTGTTACCCGTGATGGAGCCCNTTACCCGTGATGGAGCCCTGCTTTCCTGGGAATGGCAGAACACCTGCCTGCCAGTGGGAAGTGGTGAATGAATTCCTTGTTTTGCTTTGCTTGTATGCATGGCATTTGCTTCACCTATTAAACTGTCTTTATCTCAACCCACAAGTTTTCTCACTTTTCCAATTCTGTCCCTGATCCTGCTGGTGGGGAAGTGAGCGAGTGGCTGCATGGGGCTTAGTTGCCAGCTGGGGTTAAACTGTGACAGCCACAAAGCAGTGCTGTTGTTATCACACTGTTTATTTGCTGAATGTGCTTTCCCTTAAGCTGCTGTCTGAGATAATTTCAAGATACTCTTCCATGCTCTGATGAATTCAAAACTGCAGCGAGTTAATTCAGTGCTCACCCCAGGCACCCGACACTGGGTGGTAGTCCCTGTATCTCTGCAGTTCCCACTGCCACTGAACCAAGTACAGAAACATCCCTGAGGAATGACTGATTATTTAAACTAGTTTTTGGATTGGCTTGCTTTTGTTTAAAGCAGATGCTTATTGGGAGGAACGATTGGTCTCAGCGTGTAACTGACCTCAGATTAATTAATAACCACTGTCTGGAACCCGACACTACAAACGGGAAGCAGAAAACAAACAGTTTAAGCCATCTGTGCTAACTTTTGCTTGAGAGCTTGGCTGCTCTTATTAGAGGGTTGTGCCTTTTCCTGTGGCACACAGAAAGGAGAGAGGGAGTCCATTATAAAAAGGTTAGTTCCCATAGTGTGATCCACCAAAAGAGGGGAAATAGGGGGATGTGTTGTACCTCAGCCCTCAAAATTCTCAGTAGGTTTCTCTGTACCAGTTCTACCACTGACAAGATTTTAATGGATTTATTTTCTGTTAAACCTTTTTTCCCCCCCTAGATTCATCTTCTATTTTACTAGTTTCTCAGGAAAGTAAATACTCTTCCCTTCCAGTTTCATTCTTTTCCTTTCTTGTGCTGACATCTCTTGTGATCAGCGGAAGCTGGTAGTTGTGGGATACAGGTTGCTTATGTGCTCTTTAATTTGCTGTTACTGGAGATGGTTGGGAACACTGTAGCAAGCTGATTTTGGAAAATGAAGACTTACTGTAGTGGAAACACTTCATGAATACTGTTTCAGCTAAAAAGGTCAGGAAATTATTCTTATGTGGGGAATATGTTTTCCTGAAAAATGTGTGGAGAGGTGCTCACCCAGGACACGTTGCCAGCCTGTACACATCTTGCTAGCCTCCAGACAGGGCCATTACTATTGCCATCTTGTCAATCCTGGAAAAGAGAGATGGGCTTGCTGTCGATGTACATGCAGAGCTGCCCTCCAGCAGCTTAAACCTTCCTGTGTAGTATCCCGTGCTGCTTGCAATGGTGGCAGTGGAGATGGAGTATGGACTTTGATGTGTACCTGGTAATTAATGTATGCATGCAGTCCTGGGAGAGGTTGTCCTCTGCCCCCCCCTCCCCAGACATCCTGATGGCTGTATTAGGTACTTCCTGGCCTCAGGCAGAGGAACTACATCCTTCTGTTGAACCTTCATCTCTGTTTTATGTGGATTCCTATGATGGTGGCATAGGTCTCAGATGTTTCATCAAGATCTGTAGCTTCAACATAAGCTCCACCTGCACTGGGGCCTGGTGCCTGAGAGAGTGACTCACACGTCTCTGGACTCCCGGTGTTAATTGTAACAGCAGCAAAACTTTAGAGGTACAAGTCAAGGTTCTCTGTCAGCACAGCACCCAAAGCACTGAGACCTCCACTTGGATTCCCAAAGGTGTCTCTGTGAGGTAAGGTTATAAGTTTCAAAGTGTGAGTGTTGTTCAGCAGTAGATGCTGCAAGTGAACTGTGAACTCTTCCTGTTGCCTGATCTGTAGGGTTTTTTAGACTGAAATAATGTATTTGCTTTCCTTTTTCCTTGCCCAATGCTCAGACAGAACAGTTGTGGGGAAGCAAATACTTGTTGCCAGATGTGAATGATGTCAGTCCTCTGCTAGCGAAAGCCACGTGTACACGCTGTGGTCTTGGTGGGTTTCCTCTCAAAAGTGACCTGGCACTCCTGGAGCTGCAGAAACACATCGATCCAGGTACCATTTGTAGTCCCACCACATTCAGCTGTGCCAGGGGTAATGATTATAATAGGTTTCAGACGTGGGGCACAGTGTTTAGTATATGTATGGGAAGGGGGTTGGGAAGACATCTGTGTGTCTTGCACAGTGAAGGATGGTAAGGGTGAAACGAACAGCAAGCCTTCAGGCAGGATTGATTCCTCTTATCTGGCTAAAATACAGAATGAGGGTTAGGAATGTGACTTTAAGGTAAAAGTACAGGCTAGACATGACCTAGAGAATAGAAAAGATCACCTATTCTACCTGTCTTCCCAACCTGTTACCGCTGTACTATGACATCATTAAAGTTAATGAGCCAAAAATAAGCAGGCATGTCCCAAGGGAGCTGTTCTTTTTTTTTTTCTTCATAAAGACTGGTATGTACAGGACTAACATAATACGCACCTCTGTGCTGGTAGCAAAGTAATGTTTGAGATAGCAGGAAATGAAATTTAAAAGAAAGATGTTAAGTTGCCTATACCCTTTGTCTAAACCCCAGAATATTCTTGTTAGAGGAATATTTTGCTGCAGTATATAATTTAGATTTTTATAAAAAAAAGTGCCAAGCTTGGACAGAGCTGAGAGAAGTTACTCCTTCCAATTTGCTGTGTTCAGCTTGGGGCAGGACCTGGGGGAAGGAAAGGATAAAAACGGAAGACAAATGTTAAGCGTTAGGGAAATGTAATGTAAATAGAGCCAGTGCACAAGCACAGAGCATGTGAATAAGGAGGCTTTATAGCACATGGATCTTGCCATGTCCTCTTAATAGTATCCACAAAGAAAATACCACAGTTCTTCAAAGAACTGTCTAACTATGTGCACTGATGATGGGAGGCTTCTGCACTGAAGGAGTGAAGTCCTGGGTCAAACTGGCTTGAGGAAAGTGTCTTCCTTCAAGGCCCTGGATCCATGTCACTTTGAAGGGCCTCCTCTCTCATATTCTTAGAAACAGCCTTCAAAATATGTTCAGTTTGACTGTGCTGTGGCCTCAAACAGTGGTATCAGGAGAAAGCCTGATCTGACTCATTAAAACAGTGCTCTTGGGCATCCAGCGAGTACAGCAAGGGAACATATACATTATTAAAGCTCTGTCTCATCTGTTCTGCAGTCTTGTTGTGGGATATTTGGGAGGAGGGGGGAGATGAAGCAACGAGTTAAAAAGCAAGAAAAGCAGAGGGCTGACAGAAGTAAGAGCAGGAAAGATGTACCTGGTGTTGATGAGAATTTGCTTTCCAACACAGACAGTTCAACAGGAACAATCAGCTGCTGGCACATTGTGGAGAGGAACAAACACTGCTGCAAGATCTTAACAACAGGATGGGGAGAGACAGGAGCTGACAGTGAGTACAGGTTACTCTGACATCAAAGGGCATCATGACCAATCGAGGGCAGTGCCAGCTCAGACTGAGAGCAGTGCCAAGAGAGATTTCTCCTCCTCCCTAAGTGTTGCCTGCAGTGTATGAAACATTTTCCACCTAGAAGCCAGGCTGTCTCTTCTGTTGGAAAACCGGGAAGCTTTGGGAAAGGCAAAGCCAAGATGGAAGCTAAGCAAAGGGGAATGAACTCAAGGGAGATGAAATCACACTGACAGTGAGTGTCCAGGGTCTCTGGCCCATGTCACCACTGCTGCTTGGCAGCGTGGTCATATACCTCATGTCTCCTTGGGACGTCTCAGTGTCTGGGGAGGAGAAACTGCTCCCCCATTTGCAAACTGAAGACAGCTGTACCACCCCCTCATTCCAAACAGCCACTGACCCTCTTCCAGGAGATGTGGGATACACGTGCCTGGGTGCAGCTGGCACAGAGCTGGTCTGTGTCCTGTCTGACTGCCCCTGTGCCAAAGTCTAGCACAGACAGTGGCAAGGAATCACCCCACTTACCTGGCTGGAGGTAACCTGGGACAGCTGGTGAGTTCATGACAGACTTGAGGATGCTGTCAGAAGATTTGTGCGTGCTCATCTGTGCCCTGCAAAGAGGCATCCATCCCTGGTGGCAGGCTACCTTTGCTCTCTCTTAGGGGCTTGGCCCAACATTTCTGGTATTTTGGTGACCCATGCAAGAGGCAAGGATGAGTTATGGGGACTATAGGCCTCAACATATCATGCACACTTTCCACTGTTGACTGACACCCTATTACTGCTCCTGGCTGATGGGCTTGGCTCCCCTTGATCCAAGCAACACAACAGCAAAAGCCAAGGTGGCTCCATACAACTGTCTGGAGAGTGACTCCTCCTGAAGCACATGAAATACGTGAAATACATGAAATACATGAATAACACACATGCAAAGGGATGTAGACCCCAGGCTGGGGTCTGTCCCCAACAGTGTGTTGATTGCCTCCCAGGAGCAGTTAAAAGGCTGTGATTCCTACCCCTGTAAACTCCCTGATGATGTTGGGTTTTCCAGGGAAAGAACTGGTTGCCAGGCTCTAACAAGTGGAGATCTCTCTCCTTTCCCATGAGGCCTGTGCTATGGGAGACTCCTGGGGACAAAATATTGAAGATACTAACATCTGTGAGAGAGTTACAGGGGCAACTTTTAGCACAGTGTGTAGCTGAGAGTGTGGAATGTGCTGCAGACAACCACGACACAAAGCCATGTCCCTCCCTGGCTTCCTGGATGTGGATGCTTTTGACACTGCTGACAGGTGATAACCCCTTGCTTTCTCCTTCTCTTTTCTTCCCCTTTTCCTTCTTTCAGGGAGATTCTGGGTGGCCACAGATCTGTTTGTTTGACAGACACAACAAGCTGGTCAGTATTGCAATCTGAGGCAGTGACAAGTGTCATCCAGGGTCCCTAACAGTCTGCACCAGGGTTTCTGCCTTCAGACACTGGATTTCACCAGTCACAGAACAAAATATTTGATTAACTAGAACAAAAGCTTTTCAGGCTTTTGTGCATTTTTGCTCAGTAAAGAGGATGTCATGTATACCGGGTTTGTAACTGGGATCACGTCCCTCCAAACCCTTCCTCTTTGGAAGTTCAGACTTGAGTGCTCTGTTTCAGAAATCCTCTTTTCTACTGCAGTAAACCTTGCGGTGCTGTGGCACTGATATCAATTCAGTTCCTGAAAGGTGCCTAGGAAATATTATCCTTCAGCGTCTGGGTGCATGGCCAGTGTCAAGTCCTTTACACAGCTGGTATTCATCTGTCAGAATTGGTATCCGTGTTCCTCTTGGATAATCTGATTTACCAGAGGGAAGTAGCTGCTGCAGCAGCATGGGTAGAGAAGATGGACTGCTTTGGCTGCAGTGTTGCTTTGCTGGAAAGGAAGTGATCTGAAACTTGGTGTGATAGCTCATCCATTGTAAATATGCCTTCACATTTCAGAGAGATTTATCTATGCCAAGCTTTTAGTTTTGTCTCTCCTATTAGGAAGACCATACTGACATGATTCCATTTGCTAGAAGGTTGTTTTTTCTTTTAAATATACCTTCTTGGGGGCGAAAAGGTAGTGTCTGACTTACCTAAATTTTCCTGTGAGCTGGTAGCTCAAAATTAGACTTGGAAGTGAAATGTGCTTGTGAAGAAGGATTTTAATGCTCAGCCCTATCACATGTATGAATAAATTACAAACCAGGAAACTTCTGCCTGCATCCATCTCCTCTGGTTTCAGCACTACTGTGCACTACATACACATCCATTCTTTAAACAGAAGATAGGAAGCTCTTTTCCATCTCTGTGCTGTATATTGTAATCCACTTAAATATGGAAATATAAACAGAGGAGTTTATGTGATGAAGCAACATGATGTCATGTAAACAAGTGAACTTAGCAACCATCTGCTGCTAAATGGCTGAAGAACTGCAGCCTGCCCTTACACCAGGTCATTCAGGTACATAGTTAATAGTTAATACATACACACATACATACATACAATACTTAAAAAATCGTGTGTGTAACTTTTGATTTAGTAGACGTACCAAATACCAGTGTCTCTGTTGCTTAAATGAAGCCCTTCTTTCTCTTATCCACATCCCATACTGCTTTTGCAAAGAAAACCTCATATTCTAGCACAATTCAGAAAACATCAGTCAATCTGTACAAAAATAATAGTTCTCCTGAACTAGCAGAGCTGTAAATTGCAGTATTTTGTCAGGCTGCTGTTGCTGATGACTGACTTGTTGTGTTATAACTAACTTTAAAAAACTGCTCTGCCATCGTGACAGCAAATATGTTGTGGTTTTGGCTTAAAGATGTGATTTCCACAATGTGTCTTCAGCTGTGCAAATAGAGCAGCTTAGGGTTTGTAATTTAGTGCTGTATCACAGACCAGAGAGGCTTCCTATCGTGAAAATAAGTGTGGCCTTTGAAGGTTTCAGTCAGTGTGTTATTCCCCTAAGATGTGGAGGCAGGATGGGTCACCATGCCTGCTCCTGGTGGCAGGGAGGTAGGCAGAAGGAAACCTGTCCCCAGGGTTCCTGATGTGCCAGTTACCACTTCTTATATCTGGAAAGAGGATGTGCTTCCCAGTGAAGTGACAGCCTTGTCCTAGGAATAGTCCTGTCTATGCCCTGGGAGATTGACAGAGCTGCAGGGTGAAACCAGGTTCTGGGACATGCTTGTGGTGGCAGCAGAACCCCCTGGCCTGCCACACAGGAATTTATACCTTAAATTTCACTGGGAGAAGAGTGTTAGGAAAGCTTCTGGCAAACCTGAAGGAGAGAAATTAATACTCCTCTGAACATTTTTTTTTTTATGACATAGAAAGGGGCAGCCAGGTGCTGAGGGGTGTAACTGCTAATCTGCTAAGGAAAGTGTCACCATATAAAATAATTTGGACTTCCAGTGCAGAGCTAAAATTGAAATGAATATGTAGGATATCTGCTCTTTGTGTTGTCCCTCAAGATCTGCTGCCTGGTCTCCTTTTGGACCACCTATTTGATGCAGAGGCATTTGGTAAGAGAAGAGACACAATCCAGGTTGAGGTGCAGCACTTTGTACAGAGGAGCTTTCCCTTTCCAGCTTTCTACAAGTCTGGATCTTATATTATAGATTTACCTCTGAGGGAAAGGGAACAGCAGATCCAAGAATTATTTGCATCTTTTGAAGGAAGAGGCACTGCAATATTGAAGAAGGAGGCATAGATGTTGGGGAAGGGTTGCATAATTAAAGCATGACAAGTAATTCCCATAAGTGTGGACTCTAATGAGCTCTTTTCTCTAGTTCTAGACTTGTTTGAAGCAAGGGTAGATCATAAATTAATCTATACAGCACTGAGGTGTGATTTTTGTTGGTTTTTTTTTTTTTTTTTTTTAGCTCTTCACTGCAGGACAGCAGCTTTACCACACTCCAAATGCTATTCCTGATTCATCCTTTCAGAAATATCCATGCACAAATCCCACAGCACTGATGCTTTTATGCTTAAAGAGGGCACAGTAAGTATTTGCTGCACCAGCTTTAACTCTTCTATGCCATTTGGCTACAATATCAACACAGGAATTTAAAATCAGGAGAAGGTTCTCCTGACCACCAACTCCTCCACCAGCCCAAGCTGCAGTTCAAACTAACCTGGCTTTTTGGTTCCTTGGGCTCCGGGGGTTGTATATTAAAGTCTGGGGAGAGAAGGAGGGCTTCTGCCTGGCATTAGCTGGATGTGCTTGAACGGTGTGTGTGAGCTTTTTATGGCACAAGGAATGGGACTACGAAATCCCAAACAGATTTCTCATTACAATTTCTCAAGTAGCTGGGAATGCAGCACATCCTGATGCTGCTATAAATGTCCTTCTCTTTGTTGCTGCACAAAGTTGATTGTCCTATCAAAGAGGGATGTTCTATGTAATTGCAATGAAGATGTTCTCCTGATTCATTGCTCTCGCTTTGTGGATTTTTTTGTCTTTCCTTAAAAGTAGCTTAACAAGAAACTACAAGCTGCTGGTTTTATAAGCAGAGATTTTTAAAATTTTAGCAAGTGCTGGATTAAGATGAGTGGCATGAAATTTTGATTACTTTTTTCTCCCAAAAAAGCTCGTACTTAATGTTGGGGCTCAGATACCCTCCTTTTCATGCTCTATGTAACCTGTCACATTTTTACATGGACTGAGAGGCCTCCAAGAAGAATCTGTAACTTTTGACATAACTAAACCCTTACAAACTGAAAAGCAGATCTGTACATCCTTGAAGCAAAACAGCCTGAACTGGCTGGAAGCTGTTGTTTTAGCATCTACATTTCATTGCAAGAGCCAGTTCTTCATATGTGTATTTTCTTTGCATGCAGAATGAATGCACTCACATACTAATAAGGATCAGTTGCTATTTTCTTCTCAAGACACATACAGGATTTGATCTATGCTTGCTGTACTCTCTGCTCTCCCCTAATTTAGTGGCACTGTTTATGTAATTGCTGCTTTTCTGATTAAAGTGCATGAGTACAAGCTGAAGGTTTGACACAAGGCAGCCAAAGCTTTTTAATTGCCTTTAGCTTGCCTGTAGCTGCAGCACAGCTCTTTGAATGCAGCTGACTTGCGAGAAAGTCTGGGAGAGAAATGATGCACTTTTTATTTATGCTTTTTCTTTGGCAAAATTGCTCTGTGAATTTTTATCACCTAATGGTTTCTCTGACACTTTTAAAAACTGTGCAGCTTCTCACCAAGAGACTATTTTATATGAGACTTGGGCCAGTAAACCATTTCTGTGATCTGGGAAGTGCTATGCTTCCTTCACAGAGCAATTCATTTTGAAATTAGCTGGGCCTGCCTGCTCAAGAGGAACTCACAGTTGCTTGGCTGGTAGTCCTGAATGGACCTATTAAATGCCATATTTCTGCAAAAAAAACCCAGCAAAAATCTATTGCTGACTAGCAGGTCCTGAAATTCATGCATATCAAGGGTAGCATAAATAGTTTCAGTGTGCGATTTTGGAGAGAAAAGTGGTCTCTGGCTCAGTAAATACTAACTTCTACCCAGTCTATTGAAAAAGGTGGTTATATAAGGTAGGAGTCAGCTGGGGCTTCAGCAGAGCTTGGAGGAACTGGCTTCCATTCAAAATGCCTTTTAAAATTCACAGCATTTAGTGATATGGTTGCTAATTTACTTGCCCTGTACTAAGGTATGGCCAGCCTTGTGTTTCTCCCATGTGGTTCCAAAGTACAGTCTGAAGCTCCAGGTCCTTTCTCTCCCCTGTCTAAGGCATCTTACAGAAATGCTATCACCCTATATCACCCCCACTGATGTACAAGGGAGGTCTGGTCCAAGGCAGTTTAGATGGGTCACTGCTGCTGCCTCTGACCAGCAAGGTGGAGTTGTGCCAGATTCAAGCACTTTGAATTCGTGTGTGTGAAAATCAGTGTGTTATGGGTAGATGTCTGCTCACTACAGTGAATTGTAGTGGCAGGCTCCTATCAAGTGATGTGCTGCTTTCCACTGTTTTCAGACAGAAGTTTCCAGCATGAATCCTAAACTGTATTTAACTTGCCTTTGCACGTGAGATTTAGTACTTAGAAGGGGACAGGAGACCTGGAACACTACAAGATACAGTGAATAGAAGAGGCGTAAGGAATGTGCGCCATAGGCAGAGGATGGGGACTCATATGTAAAGGCACGAGAGCAGGAGCACACAACGCTCTAAAATCATGACAGACTCCATGTTCAGACTTGCAAGAAAGAGAGCAGGTTCCAGAAGGAGAGGGTACAGATGTTTTATTTGGGAGTGAGGGCTCTTCAGTCCTAGCAGTAAGTTGGAGAGTAAAACTAGGTCCTGAAGACTTGCAGTTGGTCATTGATGAAGACAGTCCATGACAGATTTCCCAGGGTCCCTAACCACTGCTATTTGCCCCCTTTCTTTCCCCTGACCATGGAGAAGAATCCTAGTTAATGGAAACTGCAGGCAGTGCTCAAACTGGGTTTTGAATTTTCATGATACAGAGC